AAAAAAAAAAAACACACACAAAAAAACAAAAAAATATATATATATATATATATATATATATATATAAATTAATTCCACGTGCAGTTAAAAAAACTACAAAAAGTTAGTAGAAAACAGCCAAAAACGCAATCATGATTCATAGTGACAGCCACTCACGCATATCATGTTCCAAAACGCACGCACGCATTACTAAGATCGAAACGGCTACAACAGAACCAGCGTCGCAATAAACAATTCAATAATCCAAACTGTTACCTCGTGAAAGAGCCACTCAGAAACACCCTTCTCCCTCCATGAGGCCAAACGAAACGCTTCGGAACCACCACCGGTGCCGCAACTCCACCGCTCCCGTGCCCTCTCCCGAACATTTTGCCACACCGAAATTTCACTTCCAACAACTTCACCAAATTCAGAACACTCCCCAACAATCGGAACAATTCACCACAAGAATCCTCCTCCGAAGCAGAACACAGAACCACTCAACACTCACGCATGCAACACCTCCTCCGCGATCAAAAACTCCAAAACTCCACACTCTCAAGTGCTCACCGAACTTCGCGATAGATAATTCAGCACCTGAAATCATCAAAACGCAGTGCCGTCAAACAAGCAACACAAACACAGAGCTCCACCAATGAGCGAATGATCACAAACACAAACACACACACACTACACAGTTCTCACAAAAATAATCAAAGAAAAAATCAATTACCAGTAGCAGGAACTAAAAAGAATTTAAATAATGCAGCAATCAAGAAAACATGCTGAAATGAATTGAGTTTAGGTCAGAACTGAGAAGCAGTTCCTAGAGAGAGAGAACGGGGAAAAGTCGAAGAGCATGGTTGTTGCATTGTGGATTCTGTTGGTTACAGAATCAAATAAGCAAGGAAGGAAGAGAGAAAATAAAAACGTGACGGGGCAAAAATAATATTTAAATAATAAAAACGGGAAAGAAAAAAAAAATTACCGGAGCAGCCACCACAAAACGGGGAGAGAAAAAAGGCATAGAGCGAGAAACAAAGACACAGTGTGCAGTTAAATTGAGCCAACCCAGAGTTCTCAAACGTGAAAACAAAAACGCCTAACCGTCACTCTCTCATTGTTACGTTTCTAATCATTGCAGTTTGTTTCTTCAATCATGATTTCACCATAATTCACACTAATCTCTATTAGTATTATTTTTTTTTAATTTAATTTTGTATACGTTAAGACATGTATATGAAGACGTTGTGTTGGGGTAAGTGCGTTTCTGATGTGACCAACACATTACAGCTTGGCATTCATGCACGAGTCCCCCACACCCACCGAGCTCTGGTGCCAGTTCTTTTCTCGTGACCTCATTGGTGTTTCCTTCACCAGAACTCTAATTTGGTTTTTTATTTGACTAAAACAGCACAATTTTGGTTTTTGTCTTCTCAATTGAATGCTGCTTAATTCTCATAAAAGTTCCCGAAAATTAAAGGATATCTAATTCAGTATCAATTCAAAGACATGTCTTTACTCCTCAAAATTCTTCATAAATTAATGACTTGTCAAATATTGCTGTAATTAGTAAGAATCCAACTTGCAATCTTTTAGGCCACACACTATTTATCGTAATGTTGAGTCATCATTATTGCTAAAAATATTTTTGAGAAAGAAAAAGGAAATTCAAAAGGATGTAACATGATTGAAAAATTCTAAAAACAGATATCAAAATCACATGTAATTGAAAAAATAACTGTAAACTCGTGTAGTTAATCCAATCAATGAAAATAAGATTATATAAATATAAATATTATGTTTAAATACATAAATTATATTTAAAATTTGTATAAATAAATATTTTAAACATATAAATTATAATTTTTAATTTATGTTCAATAATTTATTTTTAAAATATTAAATTTTAATTCATAAATAATTATAATAAATAAAAATCAAATTAAATAAAAAATTGAAAATATTCTTAAAAATTCTCTCGTTGAACAAAAGTACAAACACTCTCGTACAAAGATAAAAATTTGTATTTAATATATAAGAGTTAATGTTATTATTTTATGAAGGTTTTTTTTTTTTTTCAAAATATAGAATTGGTAGAGTTGTTTTTACTTTTTACACCTCCATAAATTATTAATGTGTAAAACACTAAAACTGTATAGATTAGTACATAAAATAGAAGAATATTAGCAATATACTTTCTCACACAATATATTGAAAAAAATGTCACAAAGTGTATTATTAATATTTCTCACTTAAAATATCATAAGTGAATAACTCAAAATATAAAGTGAATGTGAAATTCATATTATTTTTTAACATGTTATTTACTCTTTTTTATATATTGTAATGTTTAATTTGATAATTTAATATTGAATGATTGTTAAATAATATTTATTTGAAACAAAATTAATTAGTTAGTGCAAATGTTTTAAAGTTATATTTGATAAAATAAAATATATTGCAAGATAAATTAATATAAATATACTTTTAAATTTTTTTAATAGCAAAGGTGGTAAACTAGAAAGGCAATCCCAATTAGAGATGTTCAAAAAACTATATTAAATTAAACTATTGTAAAAACTAAACTAAACTAAATTATTAAAAAACTAAACTAATTTTATAAAAACTAAACTAAACTATATTTTAATTTAGTTTTAAGAACTAAACTATTATAAAAAGTAGTTTAATGCACTTTAGTTATAAAAAAAATTTATAATTAGAAAATGTTCTAAATAATTAATTAGAACTAAACTAATAAATAACTAAATTAGATTAAACTAGAAAAAACTAAATTATTTTTATAAAAAATTGAACTATAATAAATTTTATGTTCAGTTTTATAAATCTAAACTATTTTTTAAAGAGTAGTTTGTTAGACCAAACTTTTAATAAAACTGAATTCTCATTATTAATGTCTTTTTCATAACTTTTCAATTTCGCCTATTGTCCACTGTTGAGTCAGTATACTAGTGACTTAGTTATTGTGCACAACTACACATTTTTGTTTTGGTTACAATTTTTTTTTATGGTGGTTTAATTTACAGGATTAAAAGAACAAATTAATTTTCATTAATTGAATAAAAATTTATATATCTTTGGTAATTATTACTCTTTCTATATTTTTAATATAATTATTATAAAAATTAAAAAATGTATTATATATGTATGTACGAACTTATCTCTTTATTATCCAAATAATTTTATTTTTTATGCTAAAAAATATTATTTTAATAAAAAATTATAATATTAATTAGTTGAGTTTAACGATTAAGTTTGTAACATTATAAAAGTAACAATATACATTTTTATAATATTCTTTAAAAGTCATACTATTTTGTAAAAACACATTAACTAAAAAAAATAGTTACATGTAATATTTAGATATTATTGTTAAACTTTTTTATTTAATAATTAATAAGATCAGTAAACTCTTTGAAAATTAGAACCTTTGTTAAGATACTTTGTTTTCGTTCATAGTCTTAATTTGTTCTGTAACATGGAACTAGTTTATGAACTCATCAAAAAATTAAAATACTAAAAAATAGCATAATAATCCATGATTATTATGATAAATTTATTTATTTTTAGCATAAGTTTGACTGTAAATAAATTATAAATTTAAAATTGAAAAGACATTTTTTTAGAATGTATCTGAATTCAATTTATAATAATAATAATAATATGATAATAATAATAATAATAATAATAAGTTAGTTTAGTATAAATTATAGTATAATTCAAACTTAAGAACTATAGTTCACTAAAATATAAAATAGTTTAATTCAATTTTTTTGGAACTATTTTTTAGTTCAATTCAATTTAATCAAACTACAATTTTAATTTAGTTTAGTTCACATATAATTTAATTTAGTTCAACTATTTCAACAGCCTTACTCCCAATAACACAAGCAAGATCCTAATGGCATGCTTGGGCTATCAACAAAAACCCACCTAGAAGGTTATTGTGAGGGGCATATGGAGGTTGGATTGGAGTTGAATTAGAATGAATTCGTTATTTAATTTAGTTAAAATTTAATAAGTTAGGTTTGTGTATTTTTTATTTTTTATAATAAAATTCAACTAAACTTAAATAGGTTGGATTGTGTTAGATAAATTGAGTCAAATATAATTAAATTTATTTATTTTAAAAAATTAAATTTCATAATAGATGTAAATTATTTAATATCTTGTTTTAAATATAATGATATTAACTCATAAAATAAATAATAATACAAATTAAATTCAAAAATAAATTTATTGATTTGTTACATTGTTATTAGCTCAAATAGTTAACAAGAGACTCACACAAAGAATATAGTAAAGAGGATGATTGGCCATCAGTCTAAAATTAAAAGTTACAGATGAGTTCATTCCCAAGCATAATGAAGACTATATATGATAGTCCAAAATTTCTCTCCCAAGTTAGAGAACCCTTGAGTTTAAAGAATAAAATTTAATCATAATTATTAATTAAAATTAACAGTTGATATTATAATTAATTTTAAATTTTATTATAAAAAAATTATAATATTTTTTTATTGTTCATTTTTTCATCAATAATTTATCTTTTAAAGTGTATCTCCACATTTTTACATCTATTTCTTTTGGATGTATATTTTTTTATACTAATTTCTTAGAATATAATATAATATCTTTTATTTGTTTAATATCATTATACTTAGAAATTATAATTGTAAGACATGGGATGAAAGTAAAATACAACTAAAAAATATATGAAATTAACAACAACACCATTTTCTATTTTTTAACTATGTTATTGATATAAATTATCTACTAACTTCATTGATAACTAATCTTTATCAAAGAACCTTAATAATAAAATTATTGTAATAAAATAATTATATATAAAGAGAGAGGAAAAATCCATTTATTCTATGAGTAAATTTTGATAGATTTATTTCACTTAACAATATAACTATTAAATTAAAAAGTTTTTAATGCATAAATAAAATTTACAAAATTTTAAGAAATTTGAAAACATATAATACTTCATTATACAAATTTGAATTCGCATATAAAATGTTTTTAAGATTAACCATTCATTTGAATTAATAAAATAAAATATTAAATAATTTGAAATTTCTTAATAATTTGTGAACTTGATATTTACATTAAATTTTTTTATTTAATAATTTAATTATTAAAATTTAAATATAAAATATGAATTATTGAGTAAAATAAATCTACTAAAACTTATTTTTAAAATAAATAATCCTCTTTCTCTATATATAAATGTATTCAACTTAATTAATTGAATTATTATAAATTTTAGTGTTGTTTTCATTTGAATAGATAAAAAAATTATGATATTTAACATAATTGTATTAAGACCGAGACCTTTTTTTATAAAGTAATTAAATTTAATATTATTCCGACGATTGATTTTACTAATTTATTTTAAACTAAACTATTTTTTTATAAAACTTTCATCGGTGTAATGTAATTATTTACAGTAATGATTTGCAAATTAATAAGATTTAATGTATTTTTTATTTATTTTGATATAACGTAAATATATATCAATTAATTTAAATAGTAATACAATTTCTACTGTAAAATTTTCATTTTGTGAAAAATAAATAGGCAAAACACCTAATTTAGTCCCTTATAATAATTAATAGTTTCAATTTCGTTCTTCTATAATTTTTTGTTTTAATTTAGTCCCCAATAATTTAAAAAATGTCAATGTGAGACTTTCCATCCAAATTTTACAAATGATGTTAAATGTGATGACGTGGATGCCACGTAGATGCATAGCTGGCATGTCTCATCACCCCCTTCTTTAATGATCTGGAACGACCCGTTCTGAAACCAGAATGGGCCGTTTCAGATCCAAGGATTGTTCTTGATTTCTTAATTCTCTCCATATTGAAATTTTGATCGGGGCAAATTGTGAATCATGATTGATTTTTTTTAGACTTTTTAATATAGAGTATCATCTCAATTTGGAGGAATTCAATGGTATCTTTGAATTTCAAACCATAGGGAAAAAAAACCAAGATCATTTAATCCATACATATTTTGGGAATTGTAACAGGTCATATACAATGGGAGGCTGGTAAATGCAATTCATCTACATTTTATCACTCTGCCATTAGAATTATGCATAAGTTTATTGCATCTACTGTTTTAGGTCGTGACAGCTCAAACAGTAAAGTATGCTTAACTAATTTATTATTTATATGGGTAATGATGAAAAATAGGGATAAAAAGATCAATTCTTATGTATATTTTAATATTTAAATTTATATTATGTTATGAATTTTTGTTTTCAATTTTTGAACCACATTGTTACATTTTGTTGAAATGTAACACTTAAATTTAAATTTAAATATAAATCCTGGTTGGCGTTCTAGAACGTCCCGTCCAATATACAAAATTAACACACAACAAGTAGAATTAGAAAGGGTCGTTTTGACGGTTCGTTCTAGGTGCATTAAAAAAGGAGTATGGGACTTTACTACCTGTGTATCTACGTGACATTTACGTCATCTACATTTAACACCGTTTGTGAAATTTGGACAGAAAGTCTCACGTTGATATTTTTTAAATTATTAAAAATCAAATTAAAAAAAAAATTATAAAGAGACGAAATTGAAACTACTAATTATTAGAGATCAAATTAGGTGTTTTGACAAACAAATATTAACACGTAAAATTAAATAAAAATAAACTTTAATGTAAAGGGTTTATCTTGATTTGGTGTATATTGGAAAGAAAGAACCAGGAACTAATTACTCCAAACCATCTAGCAGATGATTAAGACATCACACTCCTCAATCTTACACTCTCCCACTGGTCTTGCACAATCTCCCCAATTCTTCGCTTCCAGGTACATCACCTTCCTCCAAATTTTATTTTTAAATTTTTCTAATTCGAATCTCTCAGTTCATCTTGCGTTTTTCACGATTCTGTTGCTGTATTCACCTCGATTTTCAACTGTCTTTTGCATTTCGATTTTGTCATTTCGTTTCCTCTTTTCCCAGCGCTGAAAAATGTTAGGGCGAAATCCCTATTTGAATTCCAAGAGCTTCGTGTACCCGAAGTGCTGAAAAACGTGACGAGCCGTGAGTCTGTTGTTTTTCACATTTGGCATCTTGGTTAATAAATTGTTATCTCATAATCGTAAGAAAAAATGATTTATATTTCCCCAGGAGATGGGTGGAGAGGGAGAGGCATCTTGTCGTTTGAGAAGAGATTAGATTCTTAGAGAGGGTTGAGAGTCTTTATCTCTTGAATATTCAGGGAAATCATTAATTCTTTTTGTATCATCTACCCTAGGCTAAGTCTGCTACCACATTGTTACAACAATTGGGGTTTAGGGTTCACTGATAAAAATTCATTCTTTACTTTACAATATGAACCAGTTCTATCACGGATTCTTGATATTACAGCCTTACATGTCATGAAACTTGCCTAGAGCCGATTGCTCCAGTTGCATAGTTTCCAGCCATTCCATTGATATAAAGTACGAGATTTGGACACTGCGTGAACTTCCCTTTTGCTTTTGTGTGGTTTGCTGTGGTGCAAGCCTCTGTTTTTCATTCAGACAGAGGAAATGGGAGAGCCTGTGTAGGTGTGCCGGAGAGAGCAACGGTGACAAAGAGGGGGTCCAGTAGTCTTTGTCACCTTATCTTCTTGCTTTTACATTGTTTTGACTTACCCCTAATGCAATTATAAATCTCATAATTGTTGGAAAAATATTTAATAGAGCACAAAAAAAATAAATACTTAGATTTATCAATAAGACCAATATCAACAATACAATGAATACTATAAAATTAAAAATAGAACAATCAGTAACAACTAATTAAATACAAAGAGTAAATTAATATATTAAATAATAAGATTAGAGTAGTCTGGGCTGAAACACGCAGAGCGCTATCCTTAGAGAGAAAATGCCCCCACTGCACTAGTAATTTTGAGTATTATAGTATGCTTCTCTCCTAAGATACGGCAATCTGTTAGACCGTTCGAGTGCAGCGAAAGATCTCCGAATTAAAGAATACCGTTTCAAAAAATATATTTAGTAGTAGAAATAATTTTGAGGGAGAGATAAGTGAACTTGTTGTATCACTTGTATGTATATTTTCTTTTACTTGGGCTCCTATATATAAATGCAGTCAGTCGTAGTTGTTTAGAAAAAGATTTTTTATTTATTTATTTAATCTTGGAGGCCAAGTGAGTGGTGCTCAACTTGCAACACTTTCTTTGGAAAAATTGCAATGTTACTGTGCATGCCATTGGAAGGAATAGAGAATAAAAAGATAAGGATACTTTTTCGGAGGGTGAACGTACATGAGAGAGAATGTGATTTATAAGCCCTATTATATATATATATATATATATTTAAATATTAAATTAAAAAATACTATTTTCTAGCAATAATCAGTTGAAAACTTTATTTTTTTCTTTGATAGCTTTGGAGTCTTTCATTTTATGTTGTAATGTGTCATTCTTCCACATGGTAGTTTTTATTTATTTATAAATTTTGCCTATGGTTTTTGGTATTCAACAATATGTACTAATTAAAATCCTTATGATTCATAGTTTAATTTCTTTTCAGCACGAGCCCTGCTACCTGACTTGCTCTCAGCTTGGAGAACCTTGAGCTTCCAATAAATCAGTGCTTCAACATTTTAATTTGTGGGTCAAATAACAAAAGCATCTCAGTTGAAAAAATTTATTGGCCATGGCTGATTTTTTGACCTCTACCCACCGAGCCAAGTGGATTTTCTCTCCTCAACAGCTGGTACTTGTTTGTTTTTGTCTCTGATATTCATTTAAAATCAAGATTCACAGTCACATTTGTTCTTCCAAAAGAGGCTGATGTAATTTTTTTGTACAAGAGAAAATAGGAAATTCTATTTTCTGTTTTACTACATTACAATTTACTGTTTTTTTGTTTTTCTTGTTCTATTTTTGTTTTAGGATGAGAAATATAGAGCTGCTAATCAGAGAGCCAAACAAGTTCTAGAGAAGGTATGTAGATTGCAGACTTTCCCCCTGCCTTATAAATATCTTCATAAACTACTGACTACTGAGAGATGTAACCAGCAAGCATTAGGACCATAAGCCTTTACATATTTGTTGTTGCATATTTTTTTTGAACGATGTGGTCCTGGGTGTGCCTGCTTTTCCCTTATTGCTTATAATCAATGGGACTGTTTGGGTAAACAACTTAAGTAAATGCTTATTCAGTAAGCACGAGAGCTTATGCTATAAATTTGACAATAGAACTTGTTGGAATAAGGTAGAGTTAAAAAGAGTTTTTTTTTTTTAATAAGATACACCAAAAAATTTATTGAAATAAGCTAAAGAGCCTATGGGGACCGTCAGTGTTGTTAAATAGCTGCTATAATGGCGCTATGGTGCTATTGCGTTGCAGAATTCCTCTGATCAGCAATTGCAACTGTCTGCTATTGCGAACACTATGGGTGTCATGGCTGCAGCCTGTGTCATGCATCCTCGAGTCATCTCTGGTGGTTCTCCGGCCAATTGAATTGAGTTGCATTTTGCAAATTTGTATGCCTTGTAATTTTCTTTGCATACAACTTAATTTTTTATACATATATAATTGAGATATATCATATATTTCAACTGCTATTACTATTTCTGCTATCTGCTGTGATGCTATCCCGCTGATATAGTATAGGCTTTTTGCCTTTATTGATAACTGTAAAGTTATAAGCTATTTTCAGGGTGTCATTTGAAAGTTTATTATCTGGCTGCTGATGACTATTAATTTTTTAAAATAAGTGTGGAGCAACTCTAATGGAAGTCGATGTTGATGGGTCGTTGTCATATCTTGAACCCCAGATGACTGCAAAGGACGGTGGTAATGTTATTACTGTAAATTTGACTCATTGTATTTCTCAATATGTAGATACTACTTACTAGGTAGCATTATGTCTTTTAATTATTTTCAAATTATTTTATTAGGATTTTGTTCCCCCTGATTATCTGTGAATTTCTATTTTCTACTGTTCACAATGGTAGTATTTTATGTCAGCTGAAAAGCATTCTCGGACAAAACCTCTTAGTATTGAAGAAGAACAATGTATAAGGGTATTTTATGAAAACAAGTTACAAGAAGTATGTAACAATTTCCGCTTCCCTCATAAGATCCAGGTATGCAAGCTCTCCTCCATATATTTTAATGTAACTGTGAAGCAGTCTGTGCTAATGAGATGATATGGGCAACACTTTTTTTATATTGTCAATCTTTTGAAATAGTTTATGATATACAGGCAACAGCCCTTATCTATTTTAAAAGATTCTATCTGCAATGGTCGGTGATGGAACATCAACCAAAACATATTATGTAAGATTTGCTTTCTCTAGACTTAGGATGTATCAATCATACTTGCATTTTTGGAAATATTTGGTTGATATTGAAACTTATTGATCATTGTAGTGAAGTCATTACATAATTTATTTGAAGATGTTGAAATTGGTTAGGATTATTGTACATGGTGCACTGCTTGTGAGATGTGGATTAGTCATCAGTTTTCTCTTCTGATTAATCTTTTTTTTCTTTTGAAATAATTACTTGTTTTTTATGATTTAGTTTGATTGAATACCTGTTTAGGGTTGGATTTGAATGATTTATTTATTAACTTGTTATCTTCTCAGTATGTGAGATCAAACTTTTTCACAGGTTGACCTGCATATATGCTGCTTGTAAGATAGAAGAGAATCACGTGTCAGCTGAAGAGCTTGGTAAAGGGATTTCACAGGATCATCAAATGATTCTCAACAATGAGATGATAGTTTATCAGGCATGGATAGGCCTCAAATAACAAAGTGATTTATTTCATTTTTTTTGTTGTTTTTGTTCATCAATGACATGAAACTTGTTTTGCAGAGTTTGGAATTTGATCTTATTGTTTATGCACCATATCGCTCAGTTGAAGGTTTTATAAATGACATGGAGGTTGGTCTGATAGGCCTATGAGTGGAATATTTTTTAAAATGTTAAATTTTAAAAAAATATTTTTTACATCTCAAAATAAAATTTCCTGCTTTCTCTTTCTTTTTTTGGCTTATTAATTATATGTCTGGCTGATATCAACAGTGTTATTTTAATGATTTTATTTTCTGCCAAAAATTGTGCATTGACAGGAATTCTGCAATGCTGGTGATGATCAGCTTCAAATGCTCAAGGTACTAATAATTATATTATCAAACATAATTGTTGTTTGACTGAGCACATTGTTGTGGTTGTGAGCCGATGAAATTCTTTTGGCTTTTTATATTATATCTAGACTGTATATCTGGTAACATCCCCCTTCCCCAAAAAATTGTGACAATTATTGGTTATTGGGCCTGTATGTCACAACTTTTTTTCCACAAAAAGATAACTTTAAAAAAAAACACTTTAAAAGTTTTTATGTGTTTGAGGCCATCTCTCTATACATACACTCGTGGGGTCATATCAAACGAGAGTTGTGAAGAGTTAATCTTGATCATTTAATCTTTTATATGTTTGGTCTACTTTGGCTATTCTCACATCTGACACTTTCCTGATGCACTTCCGGTGTGTAGTGATTGTTTCCTTTATTCCCTTCTCTCGTGGAACAATATTGTTTTATCTGTTCAAGCATCCTCTTTACCTGGACATGTTCACTTACTTGATGTTCAGATAACTTCATCTTATGATAAATTTTCTTCTGATGTATAGACTTTGCAAAACACAGCAAGATCAGAAGTTGATAAAATGATGCTTACAGATGCACCACTTTTATTTCCTCCTGGGCAGGTATTCTCAGAATAATCCGTAAATATCGATAGTCCATTGTAGCACAGGGTTTTTTGTTACAAGCAGCAGCCAAAAAAGTTCCTTTTCCTGCTTTGCCTTTACCAATGATTTAAAATAGAATAATGGACCTTTTCTGATAATTATGTCTGTTAATCAGTTGAAAACAAGAAATCCATGTCACAAGTCACAACCTAGGCTAGTGAAAATAAATAAACCGAATTTCAAAAAGAGTGGTCAACCACTAATCACTTTATGTAAATTAACCCTTTTAATTTTAGTTGATTGTTTCAAAATTGGAAATATGCTTGCCAGGGTTTCTCAAATCATCAGAAAAACAGAAAACCTAGGCTATACTTCTCAATTACTGATTTCCAACTCAACATTCTCTGATCAATCTAGATTCAGTATTCTATTTCAGCTTTGTTTTAAACCATTTTGCTTCAAAATCTCACTCTGTTTGTGTCTTTCGATGCAGTTGGCCTTGGCTGCTTTGCACAAGTCAAATGCACTCCATAAAGTCATTGACTTTGATAGGTACTTATTGCTTCATGTGTTTCTTTGTGATAATTTATTCTGTCCCTCCCCCATTGTTCTTTTCCAATTTGTGATTCGTTATAAAGTTATGCAACAAAATGGCCTGCCTGGGGTTTGATATTGTAGTATATTCTGACCCAAATTTATGTATATCTGCTCAGACATTCACTCTTTACAACTGGCTGTTAATTGCAGTTATCTTGAGAGCATGTTTTCTCGCCAGAATTCCATGCACACAATATCCGAGCTTTCTGAATCACTGCATGGAATTGATTCTTTGGTAATTGATTCTCATTCTAATATTTGTAATTCCAAATCAACATTTTTATTAGACGGGAACTGTGGTTTTCTTCTGTTTTACACGGACCATTGTGTTCTTGGTTTTCTTCTTCAGGTTAGAAAATACAAAGTTCCTTCTGACAAGGAATTGAAGCATATCAACCGAAAACTAAAGTCTTGTTGGGGTCATAGCTCTCATGACGAGTACTTCCTTTTCCTTTACCCTTATGTAGAATTATGTGCTGGTTCTACACATTCACAAAAAAAATGTTTTATTCAGAAAATTTGTGGTATATGATAATAACTTTGGTTTGGTTTGGTTTACAGGGGCAAGAAGAGGGAGAAGAAATCAAAGCACAAGTCCAAAAAGAGTTCAAATGAAGCACAAAATATGTCATCTCTTTTATAGCTAGCTATATATTCATTTTATATGGATGCCAACTTTTTGGTTTCTATTTGGATACGAAGGATGACGTTATTGTCTTTAACCGATAGATAACGTTTTCCTCATCCTAGATGATATAGCGTCAGTGGCCAAGGAACCTTTTGAAAACTCCTTCCGCTGGCTACTTGTTAGTTTCCTTTTGCCCTCAGTTTCCGTTTGTATAACGTGTGTGCCCAAAGGAACTTATTGCCTCAAATTATCCATCTGGTGCTTCAAAATGCTTCAATTCAAATTCCATGCTCGCAGTGTTTTAAATTTTATTTGAACTTTAATGGCTTCTAAATAAGGAGGGTCTCAAGTAAAAAAAAAAAAAAAAAAGGCCAAACAGATAAAATGCTTTGAAATTTGAGTACTGTGTTGGACAATTCTAATTGCACCTTTTTTTTTTTTTTTTTCACTACAACCCGCATTTTTATCTGGATTTTTGAAATTCTTAAAATACTTTTCTCTTCTCTCCCATCTTCATAAGATTCTTCTCACCTTTTTCTTTCTTTCGCATCCCTTGCTTCTCATTGTTGTCACAAGTCTCGTCGTCCTTATCTCTGTCCGTCTCCGTGGTGAGTGTTTTTAAAACTTAATATATCTACTTATTTTATAATAAGTTGATATTTAAATACATTCTAAAAATTAAAACTTGATATATCTTTTCTTTGATAATTTAAAATTTAAATTAGGATGATACATAACTCCATGATATATCTTCTTATTTTTAATATAACACTTCGAAAGTTAGTTTCTCGAAACGGATATTTTTTATTATTAAAATAATAATACAGAAGAGGTTTGAAGAGATAAAATCATTGGTAATGATAATTCTATACGGGTATCCGTAAAAAAATATTTGTAAGATGTAGGATAAATGCCCTTAATAAATATGGAGTTTATATATATTCACTTGTTTTAAGAGTAAGTGTATATTATATTAAATAATTTATATTTTATATTAAATTTTAATAATTTAATTATTTAATTAAAAGTTTTTAATGTATAGATTATGTCTATAATTTTTTTATAAATTTAAAAATTATTTTATACTTTGTTTTATTAATTCAAATTAACATATAAAAAATTTTTATGAATATTTTTTTAATTTGAATTAATGAAATAGAGTATTAAATAATTTTTAAAATTTTTAAAATTTTGCAAACTTGTTCTATACATTAAAATTTTTTAACTTAATGATTAGATCATTAAAATTTGATATAAAATATAAGTTATCGAATAAACTTATTCTTGAAGCAAGTGAATCTCTCTCTAATCATAATAATTTTTTAAATTATATTTTATTAGTTTATTAATTTTACACTTAAGTGTTGGGGTGGATACAATGAGTTTTAGGTATCTGAGAATATAAAAAAAATTGAATATATTTTCAGTTCTTGATTTTTGGTCAATTTTTATTTTTAGTTCTTGAATAACTTTTTTTACTAATTTTAGTTTTTAAAATTTTCACTTTTAATCTTTGAAGTTTTTCTTCTAATATTTTGGTTCTTAGTGCCCAAATTTATTGTTTATGGTGGCAAATATTAGAAACTAAAATCAAATAAAATTGTTCAGAGACTTAAAAACAAAAATTAACAAAATAAAAAAAGGAATAAAAACATTTTATAAAAAATATTAAAGTTGCTACTCTCGGTAATCATAGATATAAGGGTACGGAGACATATAAAACATTGTTCTTAATAAAAGTTATGTACCCTGTGGTGTTTCAGTTCAAGGCATGAATCGGAGGGCCCAGAGCTATATTGGGCCAACCTAATATGACTGAAAATTGGGCCAGGAAGCCTAATGAGAATGGGTCCTTAGTCCCTTAGCCAATGCTAGTGTTCCCTCAGGGTCCGAATCCGAAGATTGAAGCCTTCAAAATGGCGTGCTTAGTCTCCTCGAGCTTCACCGTTCCTCAGCGCGCTTCACAACTCAACAAGGTACTTTCTTCACTTTCTCTTTCACTCTTTCTATACTTTCTTCAATTCTCTTTCAACAATATCTTTTGCTGCACATCTTGCTTTGTTTACGTGATGCTGCTTTTCTAGTTAGATACAGGAAAAATGTTTCTCTTTGTATATTTATGTTGAATGAATAATTACTACTTTTTATGACTTACCAGCAGGAAGTGTATCAACCTCAATTACATTTTCCTTTGGATACACTTTTAAGCAAAGCAACAATTCGAACAGGTTTTTCTTTCAACCTTTCAATGATCGCGTGCTTCTCCGTTTGAAAACTTTATTTATAGAACTGTTCACTCTTTTTGCATTATAAATGTTTGATAACTTTTATTTGATTAGTTGGTTTTATATACCTGCCACGGTTTCGGATAAGGTCTTAATGTTTTAGTTGTTTAACTCGATAATAATGATCACGGTTGCTTATTAGTTACATTAAGACAATCTCACGGCCAGGATCTTGGATATTTGCCCTAGGAATTGAAGGACTGTGACATTTTAAGATTGGATTATTGATATGTCAAATTTAAACTTGCAACCTATGTAATCTTTTTGCTGGGTCATTTCATGCTGGCTTACTGGAAGTGAAAAATTCGTTGTTAGGGTGGAATTGCTACAGCCATTTAATGGTTAGGTTGGATTAGAGTTTTGAATCTGCATCTTAGTTTTGGCACATGCTTTTAGATGTGAACTGAAAAGAAATGTCTGTGGAAGGTATTGTAAATTTCCAGTTTATGGAGGGAGATCATCTGTGAGGAAGGAGATGAAATGACATAAGAGGGTAAAAAGAAAAGCCAAATCTTGTGAATATAAAGATGAAGTTTACCCTTTTGATTCTCAAAACACAATACGGGAGGGAAGGACATCTTCAATTTTGAAACCTGCGTATTATACATCATTACAATGTTATAAGCTGTATGCTGGGTACAGACTTTTGTTTGTTTAGGGCTATTTTCTGTAGATTTTTTAATTGTGCACTATAGTAATATTGCTCATGCCTTAGACAGGAATTTCTTTTGGATTTCAGAATTATCTTGGGTTTATTTTCGGTGGGGTTAATTTCCCCTTCTAGTTCTAGATATCTGTTGTCAATCTGTGACTCCCAACCACTGGGATTTTATATATATCAGAAAACATGCATATGAGATGCTGTGATGAATATGAGAAATTATGAAGCAAAAATAAAATTGAAATAATTGTATCATGTTGGGTATTGTTGGATACACTACATCCAAATAACCATGTATGTCTATCATATATATCTGTGCTAGCTTCAGCTTCAACTTAGGATTCAAACATAGGCAACTTGTGGAAGTTATGTGGAAATATTTGTTTTGAATAATTGCACCATTTTGTACTTATCCTTTTTAATCAGACAGTATATATTATATATGCAGCTCAAAAGACTCTTGGATCTTGCACTTCAAATAATCACATACTATCTTTGAAAGGAAGCTTGCATCGTTGCTTGATGTCATGCTCAAGATTTCTACATGAAACTTACTCATATAATTTAGATGTAGATTGTTGCCCTGAAATAGTTATATCTGGATATTGGGTGGGACCTGATGCTGATGATGGGTGGGGATTTGTGGAAGCTGTAATTAATCAAATGAATTGATCTCTCTTCTATTTTTAGATAAGGGTTGATGTTGCTTCACTTTTGTCAAAGATTTAAAGTGGCTGTGTGGCTCTCGGTTAGCTGACTACAGTTTCTATTCTCGAAAGTCTCCCAAAACTAACCAATCTTTTGGAAAATTGAGAGTATCATTTATGAAAGAATACTGGAGAAATGGAGAGATGTATATCCATTATTGATGCAGTTATGAAGGCTTGATGGATGGGTTCGGTCCACGTTTTGATCTGTGAATTATTTTAGGTATCTTGTCCGAAACTATATTGACTAAAATTGAACTTTGTGAAAACAATGACTTGTCTTTCGGATAGGCTGCTGAACTTAAATCTAGGGAAAATTTTATTTATTCTTTGCTATCGGTATCTATGGCCTATGCTTCTTTATCACTGAATTTGCATTAGTCTGAGTTTTCTCATTGAGGTCTCAACCCGAAGATTGTATCGAAATGGAACATTCATTGAGTGTGATTAGTGTAACATGGCCAATGTCAACCGGGGTGATTGATTTGGTTTTGTCAACCGAGTGTGATTACCCTACAAGCAAGAGTTATACCTTGTTACACGTTAAATTTACAATCCCGTACATTTTTAACTGTTGGAAATCATTTTTTTAATATTTTAGCATAGAGATCGTTGAAATGAGTTTTGTTTCTTCTCTTAACAAAATCATCTTTTTATGCACAACTAGAAATTTCAGATAATCATACTTTTGTTAACATGTTTAAAAAATTTAATTGTCTATGGACTATGTTGGACCCTGGTTACAATTTCATACATGACAATGTTAAAGTCCGACCTACTTAAAGTTGTGTGCAATGCACAAAATGTAATGTGTTGAGCACTGGGTATCGTTAATAGTTTGATGATGATTTAATCCGTAATATTATATATTTTAAAGAGTATATCAACTTAATATTTTTTTTTTTTGGTAACCCAAAGCTAAGAAAACAAAACAATAAAAGGAAGATTATAATCTATGGAACACCGTTCTAGCTGCATCTGCTATCACAAATAAATGTAAATCTTTAGGCATTGTCCAAAACTACTATGTCAACATCACAATTTGGCCTTAATTTTGACATAAAATATGCACTCTAGTTTCCTTCTAAAAAAGAATGACAAATATAAACACTCCAAAATTGTTGCAATAACTCCTTGAGGTGAGTAAAGATAGGAACATACTTAGAGCACCTCCAGCAGCGGGTGCTTAGTGTGTTGCTTATTGTTAAGCAACGGTGCTTGTTAGAAATTCCCATTGGAGTGATCCTACATGGCACATGAGTTCCTTTAAAAAAATTTTGTGTTGCTTGTACAAGGCACGGTGCTTAGTACTGAGACTCCAAATTTGATTGGCTAAAATGCATCTACGTGGAATATGAATCAGATTTATGAAAATAAAAAAAAAAACCAAAAAAAACATGTTCACCTCATCTTCGTCTCCTCTGCGCGACACCCTCTGCACGGCGGACCACCGTATGACCAGAACGGCCGGCCGGCGCGCGGACCCCTCCACCACCCGCGCGGCTCCATATAGCCAGACCCGCCGCCCGCGCGGGAACCACCTTTGGCCCGCGAGCACCAGAACCACCAAGTCGTACCCCTCCGCCCCGCGTGCGACCACCTCCGCCAGAACCCCCGCGACCCCTCCGCCCTTGACTCCTCCGCGCGCGACCCCTCTGCATGCGACCACCTCCGCCAACAAACCCCCCCAACCCCTCCGCCCTTGACCCCTCCGCATGCGACCACCGCCGCCAGAACCCCCCGCATGAATAGAGTGAAGGGAGAGTGAAGGGAGTGAACCGAGAGTGAAAAGAGAGTGTAGAGAGAGTGAGACGTGAATTTTTGGTATTTTTTTTTATTATGTAATTTTTTTTATTATGTAATTTTTTTTATTATGAAATTTTTTTTATTATTGTAATTTTTGGTTTTTCTTTTTATTAATAAATTTATTTTTATTATTGTAATTTTTGGTATTTTTTTATTATGTAATTTTTTTTATTATTAAAGTTTTTTATATTTTTTTTATTATTGAAATTTTTTAATTATGTAATTTGTTTTAATTATTAGTTATTCATATTTATATATTATTCATAATAATTAATTTTATAAAAATTTACCATAAAATATAATGTGAGGTGTCAAAAAGTGTAGTATGAGTTGTAAAAAAGTTGAGGTGCTTATAAGAAATTTCTATTGGAGCAAAAGTTGTAAAAATATAGTATGAGTTGCTTATGAGTGATGTGGCACAGTGGGACCTATTTAAAGTGGTTGAGAGTTGCTTATAAGCAACTCCTATTGTAGATGCTCTTATGAAACACATCCAATGTCCCAACAACAATTTGACCGCTAGTAATGAATCGGAAACACAGTATATTGCAAAAGTTAGCTTTCCACACCAACTTCATATCATGTAGGATAGCTAATAACTCTGCTTTGAGATTGTCTTCAACTCCAGGATCCCCATAAAAACCCATAAGCCAACGACCAAAACTGTCTCTACACAAATTTTCATAACCCATGGGACCTGGGCTATTCAACTTAATATAAAGTTATAAGAAATGAAATTTGTAAAATAATTTCTGATGTGTTTTGCAAGATAATTTAATAGCGAGACTAAATACTAGCAATGAAAGAGAACTTTTGCATCTTATTTAACTTCGAAGTAAGCTGAGTGATGAAAAATTATCGCAATCTCTCTTCTATCTGGCTTCCACCTAAAATGGGGATTAGGTCTTTGTTACCATCTTTATAAAACTTCTCTTCTATCTTCTATCTCACTTTCCCCTAAAATGGGGTGGATGAATATGGGTTCTCGTTAACAAAGGATGTCAATTTGCGTTTGCAATGGAAATATTTTTTCTTACTAAAGGGTTCCTTTAGGGTGATCATATTGGAACAAGGAAGTTGTGTGCGTAGGCTTGGTCTGCTTGTTTGCCCTAAAAAATGTGCGTGGCCTAGGAATCAGAACAATGAGGGATTAAATGTCGTTTTTCAGCCAATTTATCAAATCAAATTTCATTTTGATTATATTGAACGTAAAAATAACTATTTTGATTATATTGAATGTAAACGTAATTGATTATTCATATAATTAATTATTAAAACAATATAGTTTTAAGAGTTCTTTTAAACACACCGTAAATGGAAAATTAGTGATGGGAGCAAGATACACTTAGAGACGGATGATTGGTGGATGACGTGGGGAAGCTGCAGAGTTTGCTTAGAAAGAATAGTTGTAGTTTTTGGTCGGCCATTTGGGCCCGTCTATTAAAAAAAGTGAACAAGTGTTGGAACAAGGTGTCATGGAGGGGGTGTTACTGCCAATGCCAAATGTAAGATGTACCCAGAATTAAAACATACTATTCATGGGATTCTACAAACTACAAAGCAGATAATTCAGTACCATCTTTTGCACCTCTAGCTACGTACTGAATATTCTTTTTAAGGAGAAAAAAGTCACGTGGGTATTAATTTCTTGGTGTTGGATCATAGTGCTGATAAATAAATGATATTCTTTTTTTATATGGAGAAAGGTAAAGTTAATGAGTTGCCATTGAGGACAAGAAATTCGTCAATGCCAAAAATTATGATACTGTGTAACTTGAAAATGTGTTGGGGTTTTAGGAGTCACTCTAAGCATTGATTTTGTATGTATTTTGGAAAAGATGTATGTGGACGTACGGAAACATTTCTATGGGGTTATATAAAGGGTTTAGCATATGGTGTGTAGAGTAAAATTTGGTATTTTTAGAGTGTGTACTAAATATTTTATAATAAGCTTTCTTTATTTGGTAAATTTGTTTATTTTTAGTTTTAAAAAAATAGAAAAAAGATATAAAGAAGGAGATTATATCTATTTTAAGGAAAGTAATATGAAATTCCAGGGGATTGATGAAATTTCAGTTTGAACCATTAGTGCAATGTACTGCTGCTACTAGCTGATTTGTCTATTTCCTCGAGTATTTTTTTTTTTTGAGTCCCTAAAATTTGAATTTGTACTAATTAAATTTTTACAATGTACCATATCTTATGTCCGCATACAATTTTCAATTCAAGTGATTGAATACACAATAGGATGGATAAAATTGAATATGTATTTTTTAATTCCAGAAAAATGACGCTTTTCCAAAATATATAATTCTAAAAAAAAATTGAAAAAAATCTTATACATAAAACTATAAAAGTGTCCATGGACCCTTGTATATATGGCAAGCATTGCTACGAGAATAGAAGCAAGTGATTGGTGCACTCGTTACAATCGTTTATGACATTCATACCATAATTACGATGCAAATCTAAAATTGTCACCCTATAAACTTACAGCATCCAAAATCAAACCCCATCATCAAAACATTTGTTAACTATCTGTATAAATATACAAAGTCAGAACATCTGTTAATTTAAAAATAAATTCATCAGTGAAAATTGTAAATCTTTAAAGGAAAAAAGTTTTGTGATAAATTAAAATCAGTCATTGCAATTAATCTTAAGGGGATGGTATTATTTGCTCTATTGTCAGTGACAGGTGAATATGAGGGTTTGGAACTCATCATGAATAAACAATGTACTCATCTGAAATCTTTGTTTTTTTTTTTTTTGGTTTGCAATTTTATCTATTTCGATTTCACAGTTTCGTCATTGCTCAATACCCTTTGCGGCTTTGCGTAATTTCTTTAACAAATCTAACTGAGATGATTTGAGAGAGTGGAAGTGAATCTAAGATTTTATATAATTTGAATTCTATTATTTCTTGACAGAGATATTCTATTATGGGTGGCCTTTGATTTTATTTGTACTTTACTTGGTATGTCTTTTTAGAATTAATACAAATACGAACACAAAATAGTTACTTCGGCATATTCCAGGGTCAGAGTAGAACTTTGGAGTTAAGTTTAATGATTTGCGTGATAAAATTTTCTTCATCTACCTTTCTGCATTTATATTCATATATGAACTTCTTTTGGAAATTATTTTCTTTCTTTTTTTCTTTCAATCTGATTGAACCAGCAGATTTTGTGAGTAACATAGCTATTAATTATTACTGTTAACTTTGATTGCTTTCAAGATTTAGTTTGCTTTCTTCGAAAAGGTCACGCAAGTTTACTTATGTCATACACACAATGGGCAGATATAGTGTCAAGATTGTGGGTTGAGATCCTGTGGAGCGACATTTTCACTGCACATAATCTTAGCCATTAAAATAAATTAAATTATTTTATAAAAACATTATAAATTTTGTATTAATTTAAATAGTACGAATGGATAAGATGAAAACACTTTACTCTTTCATGTTACATTTCAACTGAAAGAATCCATTCCCCAAGATTATGCATGCCTACCGAAAGATAATGATTTTTTCTTTTGTAGTCATATGATTCAAAACAAACACAAACAACAATATATTGGGGTAACTTAATTATCTATCCCTTCGCCAGATTCTCTTTATATATAACTATAATCCAAAAAATCAAAGCTCATGATATAAAAGTTAAGTTTTGTATCATCTCATCAGTTTGACCAAAACTTGCTATTTAAAGTTATGACCAACTTATTAACTGAATTAAATACTGCGCCAAAACATATAATCATAAAATTAAACATACACTCGGTGACAATGACCACATTTCTATCTCCAAAAAGGATGACGGGAAAAACTACTATATATATGCAAGACACGAATAATGAATTTCATCGCGGCTTCATATATATAGCTAGCCTGTTCTACGAACAAAGAATAAATTACTTCATAAAAAAAAAAAAAAAAAATCAGCAAAGATGAACAATATATCATATAACGTGAATTATAGACTCGTCAAATTCGTTTTTTCATAGATGGGAGTCGCAAATGGAAGGGAAGGAACATTCAGAACCATGCTTGAAATACCATGCATATTGGGGACAACAATATTGACAGCTCATTGACCTCTTCTTAACTATAGAAAAACATATATAACTCAGACTTTAGAGAAACTTTCAGCTTGAAATGTTGGTTTAGAGCTAGTTAATAGGTGTTGAAGCAACCATAATTAAGAGTTCATTATAACTCATTGATATATTTATTGTAAAGTTTTAACAATCTAATTTTCAGAGTTCCTGCAAGGAACAGTGCTACCCTAGCCACAATGTGTTCTAACCCAGCTCTTTGCCTCCTCAATTCTAATACTTAATTTTGAGGGGCCTTGCAAATGCCATGTCATGGATAGGAACTACTTTGTGTTAATGGTTATGATGGCTGGTTTTTTTACACAGGGCTGGTGGGTTAGGATTTCCTAGAGAGATGATTTATATCTATTACTTTACTCCTTTGTAATTGTTCCTCTCTTGTAAACAGTATCCCTTGTACTTCTGTTCTTCTTTCTTAATATATACCTTCTTTGCTGTTAAAAAAACCCTAGCCACATACATTTACTAAATTCCATGAAATATTAATATTTTGATATATATGGAGAATAATTATTGCTATGTATAATAAGTAGTGTAGTACATTAAAGACGTTTATCCCACAAAAGTCTCTCAATGATTAAGTCTCTTATTTATATTAATTAGAATTTAAGATTGAACTTGATTTCTTTTATATTTTATATATTATTTCATACGGATTTGTATTGAAAATGAGGTAGACATTCTTAATTAATTCCACTAATTTTTTTTTAAAAAGATTAATGATTAACTCTAATATGTATGAGTGGTGTTTTGTCTTAATTTAAATTTTAAATGTCCAAAAAAATCATCAAGAACGACTAATTCAATTGGCTAAGTAGGTGGGTTAGTTAAGTTTTTTGTTGTGTTGAGGTTCTGCAACTTATATGGACTAGAACCCCCATGATCCTGAAAAAAAGGCACATCTGACGCTGTTTGCCATATTGGTTGATAATTGTCAGTCCCCACTCCCTCAAAAGGAATGCTGTGCAGCAACAGCAAGGTTATGAATCTCGATGCCGCAATTTCGTTGTCGGAGTCAATGGGAACACTGTTCATTTCAAATGTGCTAATCATCCCGTGATTTATAATCGCTTACAAATTTTAAATGTATGCGCTTATTCAATCAAGAAATCAAACCATATCTTAGTGCTGCAATACTGGTGGTATTGGCATATATACCTAGTCTTGTCACGGTTTACTGTTTTCAAAGTAACATGGTCAACTGCATCATTGCATTCGTATGGATAGTCCAAAAAGTTTTGCGATTTCTGGACCTTCATAATATTAATTCTAAATTGATGTAATAATCTCTTTGATTTTGAGGGTTTTATTTTTACCCCTTGATGTAAAAGTTAACATCACGATCTCCCTCTATTATAGTTCTGCTTCTGCCTCTCACAGATGGGAAACATGTATATATCTCTCAGTTAGTGGTGAAGCTTATTATGTGTCTGTGTGTGTGTTTCAGAGAGGAGATAGATAGAGAGAGTATATATAACCCATTAAGGTAATAGTTGAGAAGTGGTCCCAAGGGCTTGTGTGAAATTTTTAGGTCATCGCTGAAACCCTAATTCTGACACAGGTTCAAATTGAGAAGGAATTTCCTGTCAACTTTAATGGGACAATGTCCTAATAGCTCATTTGAAATATAGTAGAATTCAGGCATGCCTGAGATATATTCGATTTTCACGGTTAATTATGCAAATGTAAAGCAACGAGATAGTGGTCCCCGGTTCTAGGGTTAGAAAATCAAAACCTAGTACATTATGTGCCAGTTTATTTTATAGTTTTTTTTACTATTACCGGCTAAAAATTTACTCGCATTTGGGTTACAAACTTATGGTTCTCCTGTGGTTGAACTCTCATTGTGGCAAGACTATCAACTTCATGATGTTTGATATCGATCAGTAGTTAAGGAGAAGTTGGGGTATCAGCATAGCAGATCTAATTGAATTGATCAACTTTTTTTCATTCCCTTCATAATAGACGTGAAATGGAGGAAATTAAATGCTTGACCATGGGGATTTTGGGTAGGGAAAATTTTAAGAACTGCTCAATACTAAACTACTAAATATATTCTGCATTTACAGTTTAGCGAATGTTAAGTGATTAACTTAATTATGATATATACATGTAAGTAGCAATTGATATGGATTGATCAGGCATCATAAATTAATTAATAAAGCAGATAGGGCAGTTTTTCAGTTGCAAAATACAATAAATCATAAAAAAAAATATAAACTAAAAAAAGATGAGAAGAATTTCATTTATGAATTGACTTGTCCTTTCAATCCATAGTTCAAAACTCTGTAAGCTGGTATAGAATGCATATGTTAGCTGTTGGTTACTACTTAATTGCTTGTTAGTTATCTGATACTAGTTTCCATTATTGGTTTGTTAGATTTAGTTAGTCTAAGTGTCTAACTAATTCTTGTGTATATATATATATATATATCTCTTGTAAGAAAATCCATTTTCAAATGAATGAAAGTTTTAACTGGTAAGTAACAGCTAACAATATATATAAGCTGGATCTAGCTAGAAGCTAAAGTCATCAACCCAATATATATAAGTTTGAACATGACAATCTTGTTTTGATAAGGATCTTAGAAATCTGCAGTTCCATAATCTTCACAATAACCTCATGCGGACTAATAATCAGCCCAAGAGGCAAGATTTCATTTCGAAGCAAACACCTTCCATAAACTGACCATGCCCAGATGAATCAGATCATTTTTATTAATGATTATCGTTGAAAATTCAGAGACACTATTCTCAATACTCATATAATATACAACATTACAGAAGCTGAATACAGTGGTGATATGGATAGTGATACACTATTTAAAAGAAGATAGAAGGGGAAGTTCCCTTTTTTGACCAGATGTATAGTTGCAAAATTACCTCACAATCATATCCAAGAAAATTAGAAGTGTAGTTCTTCTTGTCATCACCTTGTTCAATCTTCAGAAAGACACAAGAGCTATGTATTCATCCAGATTGATTTGTAGTAAGAGGGTTTTCAACCTTGTCAGTAACCCTAGATTGGTTATCAGTTTTTGAGGCTGATTCATCATAGTTTTGTAATTTGGTGGTATTTGGTTGAAGCTTGTGCTGATTGATTTTCTCCCTTTCAGCTTGCCTGTATTTATGCAAGTACCTTCCTATGGCCTCAGCATAGTTGTCAAACCCTAATGAACTTAGAGCCCAACAGATGTCATCCCCATTTACGGTCTTGCGATTCTCCTTGTGACACTTGTCAGATGCCTCACTTGTCACAAAACTTATGAACTCTGTCACACACTCTTGCATTAGTTGTTTCCCTTCTTTGGAGATCTTTGCACTAGGAGGAAGAATTTGCTTCATGATTCGACCCACATTTGCAATAGGCAAAGCTCTATCTTGCTCCTCCTGATCCATTACACGAAACTATTTTCTTACACACCCCTTTGATTTGTTGTATCAACAAACTTAAATGTTTTAAATAGATTATCTGATTACACTTGTGTGTGTATGTGAAGGCAATATTTTGTGAAACACGATACGAATGTCACATGTGAAAATGCTGGTATGTTTATGGTAACGCAACATGTTAATGTATGGGTTTGATTAGGTCTTTTCATAAAAGTATGAAAAATAGATTGTGTTAAGAGAGAAAAAAAAAAATAACCTTAATCGATTCAAGATGAATAAATTTCACATAAGTAATGATGAGTTTTTTGATTTGACAATAAAGTTTGTCTGTTCTGTTAGGTTATGTTCGACAAAAGTAGTATGAGAAGGTAGGTTAGAAGTTATAAAATTATAAATGTTTAATAAAATTTTCGGTTGAAGTAACTTATAATATAAAATAACATAAATAAATATATTTATATGATATTTTTACATGAATTTTAATTTTATTTTATAGATAAAATATTTTTTTGGTAATTACAATTTTAGTGTTTTTAATTAATTTTGAATGCTTAATTGTAACTTTTTTTTATTTAAACAGCAACTAATTTAAATACAATTTTTAACTTTAATTTTTCATGTTGTTCATTCTATTATTAATGTTATAATATTATATCTTAAACTATTATCCACCAAATTTAAAATAAAATAAAATAAATAATAAAATTTTATCTTATGTACAAATAAATAATAAAATCCTTTTTTATATAAGTACAAAAAGTAAAAAAGTCAAATTAATAATTTTTTTATAGATAAGAAATTAATGAATAAAATATATGAAGCTAATTAAAAACTACAAGTTAAAACATTACTTAAAGTAGCATTTTGGAAAACGCTCCAAGCTAGCTAATTACATAGTTTTGTTTATTAAACATTAGAAATAACTTTTCGTACTGATAAAAAAAACTAGAAATTTGTTGCCAACATACACTCAGAACATGAGACCTTTATTTATGTTAAATAAAACGTTAAATTATAGTTTTAAGTCCTTTTATCTTATTTTTTATATTTATTTTAATTTTTTTATCTATTAAAATATTTATTTTAATTTTTTATATTTAGATTAATTGATTCTTTTAAAATAATAATTATTTTTAATTTTATAATATAATTTTGAATCAATTTTTAACTAATTTAAGACATAAAACTTATGACATTATATTCTAACTATATAAAAACTATAAATTTAATTCACGTACAAATCCAAAAGATCTATATACATTAAAAAATCGTGTGAAAGATATGTTTTATAAATAACTAGAAAATAGTATGAAATTATATTTTAAAAATTTTTCAATTGTCTTTTATGAACTCATTTTTATATAATTTTTACTATGTTTGTAACTCTTTTTTATTTGAATTTCAGTTATGTTCAATTATTTGCATATAAGTATATCTAAAAAGATAAGTTTGAAGTTTTGAATTAATAAAAAATATCTAAAATTATGTTTCAAAATTGAAAATAATCATTATTTTAAAAGGATTAAATTAGTTTAAATTTAATAAATAAAGAACTAAAATGAATAATTTAAATAAAAAAAAATAAAATAAATTTTATAAATAAGATAAAAGATTAAAAGTATAATTTAATATAAATAAACTGAGTTTATCTATTTATAATATTAATTATAGTTGAAGGATAACATTAACCTAATTTCTACATTATTTTAAGGAAAAAATGTCTCTCTTTTTTTAAATATACAAGTACAAAACGTATTTTAAAAAAAATAGATATATCATATACAATGCGTTATATATTAGGTATTTGTATTATGCTATTTTCTGTCTATGAAATAATAAATATTGATCATTAAATGTTATTCAAATGATAAAATTACAAAATAAAGATAATTTTTTTAAAACTCAGAATATAGTATTATAAAGTCAAAAGATGTGAAAAATGATTTAAAATAATTTCGTTCAAAGATGTTAGAAGATATAAGGGGAAAAAAATAATGAGTTAAAACAGTAGTTAAACATCATGTGGTTGTGAGACCGATCTATTTAATATATAATATATCAAGTTTAGATTTATCGTGTACGACAAAAAAGAATTAACTAACGATAATTACAGTACTTTGAATGAAATTAATTAGTCTTTTATTCAAAAAAATAAATGAGAAAAAACAATTTGTTAACAAAATCCATGATAATTCATGAATTAATTAGCTTATATATATATATATATATATATATATATATATATATATATATATATATTCTAGATCTTATATGTATATACTTGTTCGTTTCTGTGTAGTATTCTGGTGTGCTGTGCTGTGTGTATTGACCAGGCGGG